ACTCCCCAACTCCACCCTTTCTCAGTTTGTAAGGGGATAAGAGCCCACAGAAGGGTCATTAGAAAATATTGATTGACAGCAAAACAATGTAACAGAGAAAGATTATGGGTTTTAGAGGTGATTAGCTCGCGTATTGCATCTCTGCTTCTAGCAATTTGACTGTGACCGTGTCAGCTATTTTCACTGGGCTTCAGTTTTCTCTGTAAAATGAGAGCATCTCGAGGTTTTGGGAACTACTATGGCCACTACCTCTGCTCTTCACTTTGCCTCACTGCTATTATAGTTTAGTATATAATGGGATGAACATACTGTGCTGTAGCCATTCATCTTTCAAAACCACCTCTTAAGCCCCCTTCATAATAATTAGGACGTTAAAAATAGCTTATTTGAATTTTTCTTTCTCAGGTTAAATACCTTTTCTTTTGTTACTTTTTCTCTACCTCACTTGTGGCCATTATCATTTCTACCTCACATTATTATTAATATTATTATTTTTAACACAGATAATGTCTTTATTTAGGAGAATAAATGAAAAACACCTGTGAATTAATTGCAATCTATATACTCTTTCATCTGAGTATATTTCACATTAATTTCATTTTTGTCTTTTTTCTTTTATCCTATCTAGTCAATGCTTTTTATTCCCTTTGTAGCCCAGTACAGTATTTTTCCAATTGGAGGATGTGGTCCAGTAACGGTTTGTGACATCAGTATAGTAGGTCACAACTATCATTCTTGAGTAACAAAACAGGTTAGAATAAAAAACATGAGAGTTATACTGCATGTGAAAAGATTACTGTTATTTGTGTGTTGGTGTATATTTGTAAATTTATGTGTATTCAAAGTGAGTTATGATGTAAACAGTCACAGTCACAGAAGACTGTAACTAAATGGTAGGTTCTCAATAACATTTTTGAGTCGACAGATAAATAGGAAAGCTATCTATAGAGAAAATTGTCCTGAACTTTTTGTCAGAAAACATGGGAAAGGATCCTACTTTTGTCATTTATAAACTGTGTGCATAGTCACACAAACCATTTAACTTCTCTAAACTAGTATTTACATGTCAGTATAGGAGGGTCAGTAATCCAATGTACAGTGTGGTTGTAAGAATTAAACTGTGTGTGAAAGCCCTTTGTAAACTAAGTTCCTGCATAAATATCATTTTACTGGCCTAACAACCTAATTTTGATCATCTCTGAGTTAGGACATACAGTCTGGGGAGAAATACATAATTTTTGTACCTTTCAGTTCCTTAAGTCTGAATCTGTGAATTACATCAAACAGTTCAGAAAGAAAAATCCAATCTCTTAAAAAAAAAAGGCAGAAAATGGTAAAACTGACAGGTAGTATCATTAATCCAGTATTTGGAGGCAAATGCTATCTCTAGCCTCTTTCCGTCAAAATACAGGATCTTTTAGAGTGTTACCTAGGAAGAAGTTGACATGCCAAAAATGGTGACATTGTTTCCTCTGTTCCTTTATTTCTAGTTTTACTGTCAATATCTCTGCAGCACAAATTTGTGCCATAAAACTATTATGTGGTTTCCTTGTGCAAAGTACTTTCCTGGAGTCTTTCATTGTGTTTGAGAGGGTGGATACCAAGTGCTAACCAAAACATCCCCTTCGGGCAAGTATTGCCCCCATTTTATAAGGACCAATCAGGCTCAGAGGCCGTCCGTTTCACAAAGCCACACAGATACTAACATATGCCCGCTTCTTACTGGCTCCAAAACCTGTTCTCTTTCCACCGTGCCACATGGCCCCTTTACTCATTCAATTACTCATTCTCTCATCTGTTCATCTGAGATGGACACTCTAGCTCAAGGTGAGTATGATGCCACAAATAAGGAAAACTAATCTGAGGTCACTGAAGCCCAGAGTAAAACAAAACAGGAAACAGGAAGTTAATAAATAATAGTAATGGTTATGGTAATAGTAGCTAAAAGTACTTACAGATGTGAGATGCTGTTCTAAGAGCTTTTAGATGCATTATTTAATTTGATCCTCACCAGAAGCTTTATTTGGTGTATTATATGTAAAGAAACGGAGGCACAGAGAGAGTAAGCCATTTGCCCATGTTTTTCTCCTGGTAACTGGCAAGGTTAACATGTAAATCAGACTTATTACAAACAATTGACATATATTTTCTATGTACATGCTTAAGAATTTTGATTATGTGAATTATTTTAACGAATAAAACCCTCTTTGTGAATGCAGTGATACAGAACAGAGTATGTATTTGTGTGTCTACAGATTTTTGGCACAGATTATTTTGCTGAAAGAAGCAACATTTAAGGACAAATAACTAACGACGTATTTTGCGTCTTCCAGTTGGCATGAAAACCTGTTTCTATGGCAACCAATGTAGGTCATGTGAGGGGTGAGACAAGCATTAGAAAGGAAAGCTGTTAGTTTATAATGTCTTAATTTTTCTTTTGTAAATTCTCTCCCTTAAATATGTTACGCTACCAATTTGACTTCTTGACTCTCTGAGGAAGACAGATTCCTGGTAACTCTGTGAGCATGAGGCCTGCAGTTAGAAGTTAACAGAACCTATTCTGAAATAAACTGAAGGCCTTGGGAAGTTACGCTCCATAACCTACTGCCTCTACATTGGGAGAATTAGTGTCCTGGCTGACCAAGTGCAAAAGTCTTCATGTTGTCTTTCAAATATCACGCCTGTCAGATTGTTGGTTCGTAGGGCCTTTTGGAGACATAGAATCGCTTGTCGTCTGCCAGTGAAAGAGCTGAGGGGATAGGAAACAGTTTCCTGAGAAGTTTCCAGTTTTCTTGAGGAATCAGAACACTATCTGTGAACTCCCTAGGCTGAGGTTAATGGTGTAGTTCAGGTGATTGGCTGGGGAAGTGAAGCAGGCAATACTGCTGGCAGCTATCCAGAAAAACAGCTCTGGGGAGAGTCCGCTGAGCTTAACTCCCTCCCAGTGAAGGACTTCCAGATAAGACAAACATACCACCTCCCTCCTCGCGTTGTTCGTGGGTGGATCGCTCTGATACTGCTCTAGGATGTCGGGATAGGTAGAGTGTTATGTGTCAGTTAGCAGAAATGTCTGAAGAAAGGTTTCAGAAATAGCTTACTCACTGAAGGGAAAGAAAAATTCTGAAGTCAAACTTTTCTTTTGGTAGTGAGTAGACAGAGGTGGATATTGGTTGTGTCCATTCCACGACCAGTCTTTATGTCCTTGATTAAAGTGCTAACAGTCAGTGGCAGCCTGCGGCTCCCCTCCGGTGGCTTCCCAGTGAGGCACAGGGAAGGTGGGACCAGAGGCGGAGCAGCCTTCTCTGTAACTTCCGGTCAGAGCCTGAAGTCGGGGGAAGGATGGCGTCGCTGCAGCCTGAGTGTTCTCTCCCTCTTCACTCTCCCAGATGGTTGTGTAGCTGTGCTGGTTGGGAGGACCCTCCAGGTCCAGCTCTTGGAAGGTCATGTAGTGTCTGGCCAAAATATTGCCCTCTAAGACCAGTGGTATTTTTATTCTGCCATTTACAATCTCTTTTCCCAAGATTGTACAGTGGTGAATTTCTAGAGAAAATTTAGATATGGTAACTCACATTACAAGTGATCACATTCCAGATCATTTCATTGTGGCTGCAGCTCCTTACTCTTGACTAGGAATGGAACTTTCTAGAATATTTTCCTTTTCTAGCAAATATTAGAACATTTAAAAATCATTTGAATGATATCATCACCTGACCCAAGGTCTAGTTCACTTACTTATTCAACAAATTTATATTGAGCACCCCTGTGTGCCAGGGGACTAAAGTAAATAATAGTTAACACTTATTTGCTATTTATTATATGGTAGGGAATGTAGAAATAATTTAGTATTTTATCTCATCTTCACCAGAGCTCTAGTGGGCTCTCTTATGATGCTCATTATGTAGATAAAGATGCTTAGAGAACTGAAGCAACTTGACTGAGAAGACAGCTAAGAAGTGGTAAAAGCTGAGTATGAATCCAGACAGGGTGGCTCTGGGGTCAAACTGCTGTATTCCATGCTAAGCTCCTAAATATTATGTAGTCAAGCCCCCACCCACAAAGAGCTCACAGAGCAACACAGATCGATTGTTTAAGTATGATTTGTGATCTGCGATCCAATCAAGACCAACCAAGCTTCCAGCATCTAGTAATGTGCATGGCTAGTGCAGCTAAGCATTAGCCCAAAACCAAGTTTAAAGCTGTGTTTGAGTAGTTTCATCACAGGAAACCAAAAATCAGTAGCTTGAGGGGTAAGGGTCTTGAAATATTTTTCTTTGGAACTTAAAGTGTGGCAGAACATGGGTAATCATTTCTATTATATTACTCCTTTCCCTTAGTTTCCTGTTCCTTGACTTAAACATTAGATGATTTTGTACCTATTTTACGTGCTCATTAACCTAGTAGAAAAATTATCAGTCTCAGATTTATGTTGTGTCCTAAATCCTGGAACCGGGCTGTGAATGTTCACATTTATTCTCAAAATTTCACTATTTTCTTCCCATTCTACTCTAGTTTTTCATTCTCCTCTGCAAACACTCATTTCTGGGGCCCTGGAGCAGGTGCTTGTTCCCCTCATCTTGCTACCTGCCATGCTGCCACTGGGAGGAAGGGGAGATAAACATATTGACAGGTCACTCCACCCTGGTCTGTGTTCACAGAGGGCCAGAGTGCGCAGACCCCAGGCAGGCCTCAGTGAAACAAAACAAAAAATGGTTTTGAGGGAGAAGGTAAAAATGCTATCTTGTTATGTCCTTTTTTTTTTAAAACCTCTATCAAGAATGCCTCATATATTAGTGCCATTGCAGAAACACATTTTCCTAGAGGTAGTTCAGGAAAAAGACAAGAGAAGAAATGGAGAAATAAGGCAGGTTTTCTCTTATCTGTCAAGTCCACTGTTACTGAAAAGCCTTTTGCATGTTTTTGGTTTTTTTCTCCCCACTCCCACTCAGAAAAATAATTTTTATAAGAGAGTAGTGGTCTGCGAAGTCCTGCTAAGGGTGGATTCAATTTAGATCAATAATAATAATACCTTCTAGCAGCTGACAGTTGTATGTGCTCAGGTTTCCAGCTGACCGCAGTTGTAACCAGCTTCCTCCTGCATGGATGCTTGTATTTACAACTTCAAATAACTCGTAGGGGGGAACCAGGACCTCCTTCTTGAGAGAGAATTCTTGTACAGGTGCACCCAAGCAGGTAAAGATGGTAAATACAGTTTGTCGCCCAAACTTCTGTGCCTTTTCTTTCAGGAGGGAGGTGGAGAGGAACTGACCAAATCGGATGATGGCGCCTCTGTGCGCTTCTAGGTAGACATCCTTCATCTCGTGATGCACCTCAAAACACAGAGAGTCATTCTTCATGACAATCTCTTTCCTCAGCAGCTGGATTGCTGAGGTCAGGTAGTAGTGGAGATATTTGAAATGGAATGAATGAATGTACTGCTGTGCAGACCGAGAAGCATTAGCCATGGCTCTAATAAAGTCCGAGGGAACATTGCTTTTCGATGTATAAACCAAGAGGGCCACAGCATGGGTAATATTCATGTTCTTGGGGAGCTCTTTTGCTCGGTTCAACCAGGTTAAGTGGGCATTCTTCCAGACCTTGTCATAATCCCTATGGGTTTTTAGCTCTTTTGTGAAATAATCTCCTTGACTTAGCTCCTCCATGACCTGTGGGCTGCAGCCTTGGTACTGATCATCAAAGGAATCTGGTGCCAAGTCAAAGTCAACTTTAATTGCAACCTATAAGAAAAGAAAACTGTCGTTTCTAATTTTCCAAATCAGATGATGAATGTGGTAGCCGATTGGCCATACTCTGTGAGGCCAAGTCTTCGCCTCAAAAACCAATATTTGCTGAAGTATGTTTCACTCATAATCATTACACAGCTTTGTGCAGCAATGACCTGTGCTAGACTTTGAATTTGGTTTGATAAATATTACTGAAAGCTTAAGAACACTCCTCTTCTTAGGGACAAATGACCCTTTATGTATCACCAAAAACAGTATCCTTGCCTAGTGAGTACTTAGAAGAAAAAACTTGATAATCTTAAAGTTGAATTGTATTTTCTATTTCTTCTACTGACCCCCTTTGCTTTCTCTCAGGGTGCTTTATGGAATATCTCTTTTATGAATACCTAAAATTTATATTAAATCTTTGAAGTTGATTTAAGAAAAGACTTAAATAATGAGTAATGTTGGGAACTCCAAGGGGCCCCCTGGTAAATAAGGGGCCTGCCCTCTGCCCAGGATCTGAAAACATTGAGAAAAAAAGAGCAAATATGAAGGCTAACATATTTTTCCTGCTGAATGAAGCTATGTTGGAGCGCCCATCCTTAGGTCTGATGGCAGGTAGGGTTGTTAAGTAAACCCCAGAATGAGTCCAACATGCCCACCACTTAGCTGCAGACAGTATTAGATGTGGCCTGCCTGGCGTAGGGTCTTGTGGAAGAACACAGAACTCAGGTCCTTTGCCAACAGGCTAACTCTCAGGAGGAGGAATAGCAGAGTCTCAGCATGTCTAGTTACTCTTTCTGATGTTGCCAATCCAATCAACTAAACTTGCCCTCCTCCAGGGAAGTCATGTGAGTAAGGGGTTAGGTGGCAGTCAGCAGAGTGCCTAGGAAAGTCCCTCCTCTTAGAAACCAGGAGTGGGAAAAAGACATTTTATCTTTTTGTAGCCAATTTAATACTATTTATTGATATCTAGTGCATATTAAACTGTAATTAAAGATTTAAATACGAATTCATTAACTATCATCAATCTGTCATTTAGAGCCATGTTTTCTATTACCTAAATTCCAAGATATTTCCTTTTTGGCAAAGAAATGATGCTTACTAATAACCAGTACTCCTTAAGGAATATATTAAGAGATAAAATTCCATCCAATCAATGTCAAGGATGTTGCAGCTGGAACGCAAAGACATCCTATTTGGTATTTTTACTGTGTTACTTATGATGAGAACTCATCTAGTTATGTGTAGAACAAATTTTTAAGACTTTAAATAATTTTGACTAATAACTTTTTACAGCAGATTTACAAATAGGCCTATAGAATCTGGTTAAGCCAGATCAAAACATAATCAATAGCATCATGTTCTGTCAAATCTCATGAACTCTAAAACTTTAATATATTACTAGGTCTCAAACATGCACTCTGTTATCTCTTAACATTAGGTTATTTTTCATTGCATAGAATTTTAAAATATAATACTTCTTTTGAATTGATCCATAGGATACAGTCTAAAGCCAGATAGACTTTGTTTATTTTGCATTATTTGTTCTATAGAAGCAGTGTTTTACTTAAATTTTATGGAGCATCAAGATGAAAAGAATGCTAGCCTCTAGCTTCCATAATGTCAAATTTATAAACTGTAAAGAATTCCACAATTTTTAATAACTGCTTTCAACACTGTTCACTAACACTATTTGTTTAAATGTCTGAATGAGACTTATTTAAATTAGATTCCAACTGACTAACGTTCATTTAAAGGTTGTTCCCAGGGGAAATGCTTTAATCCGGAGCTTTATTGGATCACCCCCTCATTGCACCTTACCTTGGAACTCCCAGCGGGTCTCTGCAGACCAGAAAACATCAGCAGGATAAGCTGCCCTCGAGAGAGCCAGGCTCTCACCCCAGGAGCTGCAGGGACTGGGAGAGGAGTCCCCCGGCATCTGCCGGTCCATGGCCCGCATTTGCTTGTGTTAGAAGTTCTCCTTCGCTCTTGCAGCTTCATCCTGAAATGAGCTCTCCGACTCTTGCTTTGGGACTTTCTTTGGATGAGTCTCAGAGAGAACCTTCCTTGCTCATTTCTGTGTTGAGACTTCTGTCGATCACTACCAATTAGAAGTTTTTTTCCGAGGGAAGAAATCGGTTCCAACTTATTTGCAAAGCTGAAATCTGTGAAGTAGACAGACTTGTGCACCAAATAAAGGGTTCTAACGTGAACTCAAGTTAGTTTCCTATTTAAAAATTTCCTGATCTAGTCTGTATGCCGGGGAATTCCAAAGGCCTGTTATGGGCCAGGCCCACTCTCTCACTCTTATCTTTCCCAGGAAGGCAGGGAAAGCATGCACTGCACAGAGTTTGAGGCCAAATGGCATTATCTTGAGCTGTGGGCTTCCACTGCGAGTGATTTGATTGGCTTGTGCAGGCTGCGGCAAAGATGCCACGTCAGGGTGGGCCTGTGTCAGGTTCATCTGGGGATGCTGATAGGTCCTGCCCAGATGTGGCTATTATGAAGCAACAGGGACGCTCCCAAAAAGAAGGCTCTCTTTGCTGCTTTTCCATGGCATCGTTGAAGCCCTCCAATCCAGAAATTATACTCGCTGGAGTCACTCTTACCTGTTGTATCTTCTAAGGCTGTCAGATCTTTCATCCACACTATTTTAGTCTGTAACGAGTCCCAAAGACTACTGTCAGAAGACAGCCTCTGAAAGCTTATGTCAGTCAGCAGCAGGTTCTAGTGTGCCCAGTTAATCCAGCACAGGTGTTCTAGGAAACACTCTCTCAGACAGACACTTTCCTTTCTAGTGAGAACATCCTTCCTATAGTCCAAATCCTTGGGATAATTGTTTTCCCATCTACACTTTCTGATTCATTATTTAATTGGGGAAGAAAAGCTAAATCCTGTTTTTGGAAATTCTTTTTTTTGCCCAGCATCCTAAAGTAGTTTTTAATCTAAATTTTCTGATGATCAGAGCAATTCTGTTTCATTACAAAAGTTCAAAATACCTAGAAAAGTGTAAAGGAGGAAAAGATTACCCATAACCATCACCTGCAGAAAGGGACTATTTAGATTTAGATTTTGGTTTCATACACACACACACATTCTGGGACTGAGATAACATAGTATGCAATTTTGCATAGTGTTAAAGTTAACATTTTAGTATAAGCACATGTCCCCATATAATTTAATGCTTGCTGAAAACTTCAGTTTTTTATGGTTGTACATTCTACTATAGATGCTACCAGACAGGGAAATATGATAGTACTCAACTCATTGAATGCTTTGATATATTCATAACCCTTAAAATACCACCTTACACTGAGAAACTGTTCAATAAATAAAAACATCATTATTTGTACCAAAGTTTATAGAATAAATATGTTTTCCTTGACTGAGCTTTCTACTATTGTAAATAATGATTCATGAACATGTTTTGGACATATATCTTTGCTTCTGCAAGTTTTAAAACAATTCTAGAGATGTGACCACTGGTCAATAATATACATATTTTTTGGACTTCGTGAAAAACATGAGTAGTGTATGAAAATATCCCTTGAAGTCTTTTGACATTCTTAAGATTCCTCATTATTAACTGTTAACTTAGGAATATTGAGGTGTCATGAAGAGAGCTAGAATTATTGTCTGAAAACTTCGGGGTCTATTTATACAGCTTTGCTGGCTAAATTTTAAAAAATGGGCAAGCTGTGCTGAGCCTCAGTCTTCTCAACCTTATAGGGTTGTCAAAATGAAATAAGGTGATCATAATAGCTTTTCATCGAGTCTACCATTCTTCAAGACCCTTCACTGTGTCACCTCAACCCATAAGACAGCTGTGAAGAGTGTGTATGCTGAGACCTGTGAGGTTAAATAACTTGACAGTGATCACAGGCATTTCCTCTCACCTCTGTGGCCCACTGTCTTCAAAAACTACAGGAGTCTAAGTGTCATTTTATTATTGCCTACAAAGGCTTTGCTGATTTTTCTAATGGGACTGCCACTTCCAGAATACAACCACTAGGGGGCAGAAGGAACCTTGGTAACGTTTCTATACAGTCTGGTCTGGAATTTAAAGGAGACCAGCAGAGAGGAAGGGAGGGACAGGCAGGGAGGCAGAGACAGGGACAGAGAGACAAAGACAGAGAGAAGAGCCAGAGAGACAGGAAAGAAGGGAGGGAAGAGAGGGAACAGCAACAATAAACTGAGGTAGGGAAAGGCCAGAGGTCTGGAGTGTACATGTATGTACATTTTTTGGATTAAGATGAAAAAAAAGTTTTCTGACAATGTTTATAGAGTCACTAAAGAAAACATCTTTTGCCTTGGGGACAATTTTATTAAAAGTTCCCATATGATAATTTAATACTAGTTAATTGAGAGCTTGGAGTTCACTATTTTCTTGATGATACCCAATTCTTTAAAAGTACAGCCTAGTGGTTCTGCCTTGGTGGGTAGAAGGGATATGGCTTTTGAAGCTGTGCAGAACTGTGTGGTTTGCCTCTATGACTTCCTCGCTTTCATGCATTTAGACAAGTTGTATTAGCTGTCTGTCTTGTTTTCTTCCCATGTGACAGTGGAGATGACGAACACCACCACTCTTGCAGGGCATGTGGACTATGAAATTGAGATACTCTATGAAATATCATTGAGTGAATCCACAAACTATATTGTTTTGGGAGAAGATTGATTAGTGAATAAAAATGAGCTCCTGAGAAAGACTCACTTGGTTCAATTCCTAGTTCTATCATTTCCTTAATGTTTGACCTTGGACAACGTGGTTTTACTTCTGTTCCTCAGTTTCTTAATGCCACTGACACTTAGCAGGTGCTCAAAGCGTATTGACTCTCTTCACATTCTATTGAGATGTTAGGGAGGAAGAATTTTCCTCTGTCCTTCAAGGTTGTTCTAGCTAGCCTAAGGGTCAAATTACCTGAGATGAATTAACAGGAGAAAAACCAAAGTTTAATTATGTAAGACATATGGTGGCCCAATAATAAAATTGAGACCCCAAAGAGATGACTAAGCCAGGCAGGTTTTAAACATTTTAGACAAAGAAACATAAATTTGTGAGAAAACTTAGGCTTGGGAGCTTCAGTCGGTGAGGAATTCTAAGCAGTATTTGGGCTATGGTGGTAAATGAGTAAAAGTAAAAAGGTTTGTTTATATAGGCTTCTTTGAATTCCCTGTCTGTCATGATAAGGATGTTTCTTTACCTCCTTATGCAAGGAGGACACCTTTCCCAAGGGAGATTTATTTCCTGTGTTCAAGGTAAGGGGGAATGAGACAGGTCAAGGTGAGGGGGACAGGGACTCCTGTTTCTCCAGTCATTTTAAGTCAAAATCCGTATGCCATGTTGGAGATTCGCCTGCCCGTGGTCCCTACACAGATATTTGAAGACAACACAGGATATCCAACAAAGGGAAAGTTAATTTTTAAATTATTACTTTTTAAAAATAGCTGTTTAAGAAAAGGTTTTGCCAATTTTCTAGAATAAATTCTAGACATTCTAGACTCATTTCCCAAAGCCACTTTCAGAACATGGGTTGAAGTAGCTAGAAGGCCTTGCCCAGGGGCTAATTGTATCTTGTACCGTTGGCCTCAAGGTTTGGAAATGACTCTTAGTATTTCCTGTTTGGTGTTTGTTAAGCTCTTTTGGACTGGTATCAATTTAATGGGGTTGTTTTACTGCCAGAAGTCCTTGTTATCTAAAGGAAAATAGGTTGAGAGAGACACCCCAAATACAGTAGTCAGAATGATTTTAACATTTTGACCTATCAGTTCTTTTTACCCTCCATACCCTTAAAGAAGTGAGTAAAACTCCCTCAGTGATTTCATATTTTTATAACTTTTTATTTGGATACAATTTTAAACTTAAAGAAACCTTCCAAGTTTCTATACAAGGAAAGACTTACATCCGAGGAACGCCACTGTGCCCCATTCGTATTCATGGATTGCTTAGATTTTGCCCCCTTTGCTGTCATTCTTTTTTCTAAACCGCTTGAGACACCACATCCCTTGTTAAAAGATAACTGAAGACTGTTAAAATGTTTGAAGAGTTTGACTAAAAATAGATTAGAAACCAGAAGTGGTTCCACTGGTAGGAGCAGAGCAAGACTTTTATAGAGAAAAAGCGGAAGCAAAGCAAGATACTTGATTGGCAGAGCTTAAGTATTTGCTTTATTTGGGAAAGTCTGGTCAGCTGTGATTGGTTGTTTTTTGATTTCTTAACCGTGAGGCCTTTACAGGCTGAGGTTTTGCTTTACTTACATAGGCTGCTAAGGTTTTAGAACAATCTCACTGTAATGGCTTCTTTGTTTAATTAATTTAACACCCTCTACCCTTAAATACCTCAGAATTTATTTCCTGAAATCAAGGACTTTCTCTTACACAAGCACAGTACAGTTACCAATATCAAGAAATTTAACATGTATACAATGCTATGATCTGATCCACATACAAATTTTATCATGGTTCCTATAATGTCCTTCGTAGCTAGCTTCCAGGACCGTAGTTTGCATTTAGTTGTTTAGTCTCTTTAAACCAGAACATTTCCTTGGTATTCATTTTGCGTTTTGACATTGACATTTTTAAAAATTATAGGCCAGTTATTTTCATAGACTGTCTCTCAGTTGGGGCTTGTTGATTATTTCCTGATGATTAGATTTGGGTATTTGGCGGTTTTGTAAGGAAGTCATAGAAGTGATGATGTACCATTCTCAGCCAGGAAGCACGTAGATCCATTGTTTCAATACATTTTGTAACAGTGCTTGTTAGATCAGTTGCTTCATTATGAAACGTTATCTAACCATTCTTAGTTCTGATTTTTCTCTTTAAGCAGAGGACCTTAGTATTAGAAGGAGCTTTGTTTTCCACCTGCTGCAATTCTCCTCCATGTTCTTGTCAGAACAACGTCTTGTTCTTGTCAGAACAACGTCTGCTGTGTGTGTTCCTGTGATGCTGTGATTTATAATAAATATACATTTGGTCCTGTCCTTGGTTCCTGGCACACAGCTCTAAAAACTTTTATAACTTCCCAAGTGATAAGAGCTATAAGGGTCATCTTTTGTTCTCAGTTCTTGAAGTAGCTCCAGAGCCTAAAAGATAAAAGGGGTGTCTTTTTTTTATGTGTAACAAGCCCCTTTGAACTACCTCTGAGTTTATGTTAGTAAGGTGACATAGGAAGCCCCTAAGGATGGTTGCTGGGGGACCAACCTTGATTAGAGAGTTGGAACTGTCAGTCCCACTACTAACAGGAAGGGGAAGAGGCTGGCGGTTGAATCAATCACCAATGGCCTATGATTTCATCAATCATGCTTATGTAATGAAACCTCCCCAAACCCCTGCAGGATGGAGTTTGGAGAGCTTCCAGGTGGAGGCACACATCCATGTGCCAGGAAAGTGCTGCACACCACTTCCACTGGGACAGAAGCTCCTGCACCCAGCGTCTTCCTGGATCTTGCTCTATGTGCCTCTTCAGCTGGCAGCTTATTTGCATCCTGTATAATTAGCTGGTAAAAGAAAGCAAATGTCTCTCTGAGTTCTGTGAGCTGCTCTAGGAAATTAATGGAAACCAAGGAGGGGGTCGTGGGAGCGTCTGATTGATAGCCAGTTGGTTGTAAGACAGTTGGACTTGTGACTGGCACCTGGCGTTGGGGAGGGCACGCTATAGGACTGAATCCTTCACCTGTGGGGCCTGGCATGACCTCCAGGTAGATTGTAGAACTCTAGGTAGTTTGAGGCTGCATATACAGCAGTCGGGAAACAAGCAGGGCTGGGCTTTTCAGAGCTGGAATGAATGGACGCATCTGGGGGAAACAACAGCAGAAAGGCAGGAGGAAGCAAGGGAAGAGCAGCATTATGACACAAGAAGCAAGAAGCCCTAAGGTTTCATTTTAGTGAGGCTTCCAACATTTCTATTTTGGGGATTTTAAAAAGTATGTGTGTGTGTGTGTGTGTGTGTGTGTGAGATATAATATTTTGGGGGCACATATTCTCCATGATGTAGAATTTCCCAATGAACTGTGTTTTGAGCTGTGTTCCTTCATTTTCTGCACTTTCCCCGCTAGGGTAGTTTTGATGGAAGTCCTCATTGTTTCTCACGTGCATTGAACTTGTTAAGGAGACTGAGGTTTCTAACCAGCCAGAGCAACTCTGCATTCCGTGGATTAGCCGCTGTAAATTCAGTCCCACACTCAGGTCGGCTCCCCAGAGCCTGTGAAATTAAGATACTTCTGTTTCAGTATCATAGTTTTACACTAGTTTTTTCTTTCTTTGCACGTTTCCATTTTGCTCATTAAAGTACAATGAACTG